GTATCTCCGGGGGGAAAAAAGGTATTTTTTAAAATAGAAAAGATGGTCTAATTTTTATGTGTTGTTTTTTGGTATTTTTGTTGTTTTATTTTTTTTTTTTTTTTTTTTTCTTAGGTGCGAGGGTCGTGGAGAAGAGCTTTCCGACTAATAAATAGGAAAAATCAAGAATGGAAAAGAAGGTTGAAAATCATTTAAGTTGAAATGAAATATTAGTTTAATATACCTGACGAGATTCCGGATATTGAGATAGTTTTTGTTGTGGTTCGTTCTTTGTTGCGCTGTAGATTTTGATTAGCCTGCCACTTGTCATTTTTAGCTGATGCGGAAATCGCGTGTGGCGTTGGTGCGGTTTCTTGTCGAGTTCATCCTATTCTCTGCGGGTACTTGTTGGAGTGGGTTTTGTTGATAGTTTCGATACTGTTATTTTATTTTTGTGTCTTGAGGCTTTGATTTGTTTTTATGTTTTTTGTATTTAATTAATTTATTCACATCATTGATTTTAGCATCTTAGGTGCCAGCGGGTGCTCCGAATGGTGGGGAGGGTGTGGGTGGCTCGGGGTCGCGGGGGTGGGGGGGCGGGGTCTTGGTGGGGTGGCGGCGGGGGGGGCAGGTGGGGTGGGGGGGAGGGGGGGGGAAGCCGTTGGGGGGGGGGGAGTGGGGGGGGGGGGGGTGGGGGGGTGGGGGGCGGGGGTGGGGGCGGGCGGGGGGGGCACGGGAGCGAAGTTGTGGGGGTTGTGGGTTGTGTGGTGTGGGGGGAGGTGTGGGGGGGGGTGTGTGGTCTGTTGGGGGGCGGGATGTGGGGTGGGTTGTGGGTTGGGAGGTGGGGGGGGTTTGGGTGAGGGTGGTGGTGGTTGGGGGTGGGGTGTGGGGGTTTGGGGGGGGGGGGGGGGGTGGGTGGGGGGTGGGGGGGGGGGGGGGGGGGCGGGGGGCGGGGTGTTGTGTTTTAATTGTTTGGTGGTGGGTGGGGGGGGGGGTGGGGGGGTTGTCGGGTTATTTACATCCTGGCGGGGGGGGGATTCGGTGGTCAGGGTGTGTGGTTTGTTTTTAAGTTAGGGGGGAGGTCGATAGGATGTGTGTGGTTTGAGTACAGGATAACGGGGGGGGGGGTCGGCAGAAAGCATGGAGAGAGGACCTTTGCGGGGCCGGTGTGAGATTTGATGTGAGGGCGAGAATGGGGGCATTATAAGAATTAGTTTGGCGGATAGTCTTTCTTCTAGGGGTATGTAATGTTGATTAATAATAATATAGTGTAAAAATTATGTTTGCATTCTAAATCTCAAACATAAAAGATTTAAATTAATCTTCCCTTTCCCTCCAAGAGGAGAAAAAAAAAACAGACACCATAAAAAAAAAAATCTTAAAAAATATATTAATTAAAAAAATAACTTGGATAAAAAATAAACAAAAAAAATTAATCCTATTTAACATGGACCAGCGCAGGTTGTTTGTTTTTGTTTGAAGGGGGAGGTGGTCCCAATCTGTATTAGGTGCATTCCATCTGGTATCTTGGGGGTGACTTGAGCGGGGGAATCTTTTTTTGGGTGAGTTTGCGAGGGGGGTGTTGTCGGGGGGGTTCTGGGTCGGTGATATGAGAATTTTGTAATTTGTGTTGAGCTTGTGTTTGGTATATTGTTTTGGGGGGACGGGGAGGTTGGATTTATGTATTGGGTTTTCATTAGTTGACCGTTATGTACTGTTTTTCTGTTTCTCTGTTTGAAGACGGGGGTACATGCTCTTTTTAGCGTCCGCACCGACGGATGGTGTGCGTGAAACGCGAAGGGGAACATATCGGGGTTCGTGGTTTCTTTTTTTTGTTTCTTTCTTTTTCTTTTCTTCAGTCATACTTCAGATGGGGAAACCACGAAGGAGGACACAAAAGAACAAATCAGTGAAAGGGATAAATGAATGAGACCGACAGCTGGATCGGTGTGTCGCCGTGGTGGTTCGCGTTGAGTCCGCTACGGGGGGGGACTAGAGTAGATGAGAGACACAGAGAACGCGAGGGGGGGGACTTTGTTCAAGAACCAGATAATAAAGACCAGGAGAAATGGAAGTCAGAGGAATGGACGGTAGTTAGGGTTCCCGATGAACAGGAGGAGGGACGTAGGCGGGACCATCTGTTGACCAGTTGAGACCAGAGGGGGGGGGAGGAGACCCTAGAGGAGGGAAACCAGAGAGCCTGATTGAGCGGAGACCAGTGACGTATGGACCACCCAGAATTATTATTTTAGAACATAAAAATCCCCACACCCATGAGGACCGTGCGGAAGGACCTGAGAGACCCTGTGAAGGATAGAGGGAGCAGGCGGATAGGGCGGGGAGAAGAGAAGGAAGTCTCAGAAAAAACCAGAGATAGCGAAGAGTGACCCAGTGAGAGATCCTAGATAAGAGAGACCCAGAGGATGAGACCTGAGGATAGATCGGAGACTAGTGGGAGGACTAGAGAGAAACCAGAGAGCCCCGGGAGAGCAGACCATCTGATGGATGAAGAAGACCACCATAAAGACCAGAGACGAGACCAGCTGGAGACTTGAGACCAAGAGGAGGGAGCCGACTAGTGAGAGACTAGAGAGAAAACCAGAGAGAGACCAGATGAGGACAGAGAGAAGATTAGATGGAGAAAGACCATGAGCGAAGACCCAGAGGGAAGAGACCTAGAGAGAGAAGACCATAGAGAGACCAGAAAGAGACCGAGACGGAGACCAGACACGAGACAGAAAGAGACCAGAGAGAGGACAGACACAATGAGACCAGAGAGGCCCAGAGGGGGAAAGAGACCAGAGGGTGTGGACTAGAGACCAAAAACTAGGAGAGAGAGACCAGGACCAGCGCGCATGTTGTGAGGAGACAACTGAGAAAGACCAGGAAAGAGACAGAAGGAGAGATTAGAGGAAAGCCCAGAGAGAGGTGCAGGGCATTCCGTAGCACACTTCTTCACACGTCTGACTAAACAAAACATATTTAACACTGGTGTGTCTTTGCAGAGCATTAGCACAGCTGACTGTTTTCTCACCTGAGTGTCGAGATGTGCATAAAGGGTGTGATTTCAAATACTGTGCCATGTCATGCAGATGCTCATAAGAAAAAAGTTATTTTACAACAGCTCTATCTCTTCTGCTCTGCTATAGATGGTGTGCATATGTTTCAGAATGGATAATATGCAAATCAAAAAAAACCTGGATATTTAATTTTCGTTCCATAACTTGGGCACTACTTTTCGAGACTGGTTTTAGCTTCACTATAGTGTATCTGATGACACTCTAAAAGTTTTCCGTGCAATTTTTTGCAGTTATTGTACAGTTTGAAATCTTACGCCGGACTATTTCTCGTGTAAGGAGACGAAAAAGGTTGTAAACCGTCACTGCTCAGCCAATAGGAGACGCGTATTATCGAGCATTTCCGGGAAAATCACTACGCGGTATGTCAACAAACACGGTGTGCGAGGCTTTCTGTGGATCACCTCCCTCGTCTCCCGAGGCAGAAATGGATGTTTTGCAGCCTTTGAAATGCATCGTGTACGTGGGACCAGCCACAACAAACCTCTGTGAGAAACTTACGGAAGCTATGGTGGGATACCAGCCGACGATGCGTCCGTGATTGGGACGAGACGAGCGTAGGTAATAGATGTTTTCAAAATGTGACACTAAGTTTGTATTGATTCGGTTCAGTGTTCTTCTTGTGATAAATAAGGTTGGGGGGGAGCTACATACATAACAGTAGCCAAGATTGATATACCTATAGATCTATAATTACAACTAACCATGAATACATATTCAATACAAGTAGCTAGGCCTTATAATAATCTACACCACTGAAACATTGCATTGCTGGCAGGTCATTTTTTTAGGCAGAGTAATTATCCATACTATTAGCTTCAGTTTATTTGCCATTTGCAGTAAAAACACCACATTGGAATACATTAGCAAAAAGTCACCAGTGTGCACAGACAAAAAACAACATTAAAAGACAGAAATAAAACAGTAAACAAATGTGACTGTGAAATTGATCGACTAAAACAGTTTCAAAACAAGTGCAAATCATTAAAGTGCTCTGTTCACACTGATAACAGCCTGTGGATAAAAACTGTTAGAGTAACGAGATGTCCTGCATCTCAGAGAGCGATATCTTCTGCCAGAGGGAAGAAGCTGGAACATAATTATGACATAGCTGCGATGACTGCATGCTAGCATTATATCATTAGTAGGCATACTATTGACGTAGTCCTCTGTTTAGTTGTTACTCTTGCTGGGATGAAATAATTCATAACATAATTTAACTTGTCATTTACAGATCTACTGTGAAGCAGCTGAGGCCAACATTGAGGAGCACATTCTAAATCACATCCGGGACAATGATTGTGTAGCCATAGAGGTGAAATATCAATCTTGTTATCTGGAGTACACAAGCTTTGTATATTTGGTGCCCGTTTTTGTTTTTCTGAATGATTGAAAGTTTGCTCATCCTGCTATCTTATATGTATGTTTATGTTTGTGTGGGTGTGTATATGTAACTATATTCTTTTGTGCAGGGGCTTTGGGGGATAGAAAAATAGAGCGACCACAAACTGTAAAAATGTATGACAACAATGTGACTCTTCAATAAACAATTTTATTTACAACAAAGAAATATGATCCTTATACCATATCACTTTATTTACAAATGTAAAGGAAAAAAGTGTGCAAATTGAAATGTGTGAATGCACACAATTGAATATTTATGGTAATCAAATCACGTTCAATGGAACAAAAAACACATCTGCAGCATGCAAATGTAAAAAAATGAATACAATAATGTTTGATGTAATGAAGCCACATGTTGAGCTTACTAAATTGATCCTTCAAAACTAGAAAAAAATAAGCAGCTGGCTGTATGAAAACAAATGTAGAACTACTCTTCTAAATCACCATCGTCATCTGACACAACCTGATCAACGAATATGTCGTCTTCGTTTTCTTTCTTGTTACTACAGGTCACACATTTGCAGAGGTCCGTGCAGCATAGCTTGGCCCTAAGACAGGAGCACCTTCCACTCTCGCAGTGCCCAGCTTTACAGCCACAGTGAACAGAATTCATTATAGATTCTGGGGCTGGATCATTGGTCATCCACTGTATCTTGAGATCCTCATTTACTCCCAGAATCCAACCATGGCCATCAGGGGAGGGTGCCTGTATCATCTGCTGTAGAGACCTTTGATGGATTGCTGCCTGATAGTTTGCTCTACGGTAGTGTTGTTCGAGAGCATCTTTTGTTGGTGGAAGGGAAGACTCAGATGGTGTCTTGGTGCAGAATGTCCTATACCGTGCTTCATTTACATCACAACATTTCTCACCATACAACTGGCACACATACCTTTCCAGGGTTCGGAATGCAGTGTGGTCAATGGAAAAGTTGTCACCAACTAGGGAAAATACATGCAGGTACTCAACATTCTCAGAGGCAATTGAAAAGGTGGTCTTCTTCCCTTTACCATAAAATGCACTCGTTGTGTCACAGCCTGTAAATGTGTGGAGCCCAATAAGTGCTGAACAGAGATCTGGACCTAGGATGTCGGACATTCTTTGGAGGTTGATGATGCGACGTTTGGCTTGTTTCCCTGTGAGAAAATACAACTTTGAAGATGGCAACTTTGACAATAAACATAAAGCTATAACAGCAACATCTGTGTCAGGACTTCCAATAATCACACTGTTGTAGCGCTCATGATATGCATGACATGCATGAAGTAGAAGTCGAGTATCTGCCTCCTCATGGTCACACGTTAAGGCACCGACCTTGTGAACTGTCTTCTGGCCACAAACAACTCTAACCTCATGGCAGTCATTCCCATGAGTCACAAATAAATGGAGGTCATCTCCAGCCAACTCCAGCGCAGCATCTTTCCATGCACTGAATAGATATGCTGTCAACCTTTCCTTGTTCACACCGCTAGACAAAAACTTCTTCCACTGTGTTGGAGTCTTTTGTTCATTCCCATATATTGTAATGACCTGTGAACCAGCTTGTGCACGTCTTGAACGTTCAACATTCTTGATGGAGATGTCTGGGTA